CTGCCCCACGTTTCTAAAGCGAGGAACCTGGAGACATGGAGAGCACATTCGGCCACAAAGTCCCTTGACATATTGCACTCTTACAAAACCTATACCACAAAGGTGGGAAACATCAGGCAGAACAAATACAAAGGAAAGAAACAAAGCAAACTTCTACACCAAGACCACAAAAACGGAGATAGGGATGCAGAAGCACAGGGTGGAAGGCACTCAGCCTAGCAGTAGAACACGAGAGAAGAGGGTAGAGGGAGTATGGAAGGGTGGACCCCCAGTGCTAAAGATGATGCTTCTGCTATGGCTCCAGGGGTAGGAGGGAAGCCATCAAGTTCACCGCATCCACTACAGGTCCCTCTTCGGCCCCCGGAGCCCTTTTGTAGGGGTTTCATGGAGGATTACCTGCCAGGTGAGCTGAGGCTGTCACCTGGGTAGTGCCAGTCTTGTTTCCTAAGCAGGACATTGCATAGCTTGTGCCACCAGGTAAATGGTCCCCCAATTAACCAGAGAGTTTATTGATCACATTTACAAGTACCATGGCTTTCTCCTCACAATATCTGCAGATTGTGGGTCCCCCTTTAGCTCCTAGTTTTGGGGAGGGCTCTTCAGTCTCCTGGGAGTACGGCCAGCTCTGAGTCCTGCCTATTGCCCTCCAACGTATTGGCCCAACTGAGAGCGTCCAGCGGGTGATCCATTAACGTTTGCATGACTGCTTTAATGGCCAACAAGGGGACGGCTTGGGACTGCTTACCTTTCCTGGAATGGCTCAGAACAGGCTTCTAATTGGCTTCAACTGTTTACTTTTTAATAGTGTCAATGCTTAATTTTAATGTGTGTGTTTTTCGGCTTTAAATTATATCCTGTGTTGCTTTTATTGTTAGCAGGAAGCAGCATAGATGATGATGATGATGATGATGATGAGATAACTCTGTAAATTGGAAGGCTGGGCCTTTGCCTTCTGAACCCCTTTGGCCTTTGCCGACCCCTGCGACCATCCCCTTTGACCCCTGGCACGGTCAGATTGGGCACGGAGGGTTTACAATTAAAAGTATGACCACATAACTTACAAATACACAAATATTTGCCAAGGTCACAGTCCAATAGTCAGATGTCAGGAATGCATTCACCATAGTTCATAAAATAACAACCAAGAATGCAAGACTACAAACCAAAGTCAAAACTCCAAATTGAAGCCAGAGAGGCAGAGATGCAAACTGAAGTCCAAGCCCATA